TCGTGGTCGATTGCGTCGCGTACAAAACTGTATTTATTGTTCCGCAAAGAATGTATAGTCAGCGTTATTCACTATCAGCTGACCAGCATGGATAAAATACGAAAAAAATATTTGTTGACAATTTGTAGTGTTTATCCTTTGGATCGGTTAATGCAATTGAATATTTTTGTATGAAAAGTCCTTAGTTGTTAACTAATTTCGGATATGATGTTTGTTCAAAATGTATTTAAGCTATGTTTTACAAGTGTTAAGCTATCCAATGTTTTTCAGTAGTGCTAAAAATCATCCATACTAAATTAGATCAGATGAGGGTTTCCTGCAGACTATTGACTTTGTAAATCAAATCGTTTCCTATGACAACTACAAATCTCAAAATATCACAATTCTATTCATATGCTCAATAAGAGGGTTCCCTGTTAGATTCTTTTTCTAGTTGTCCTATTTCAAAGATTTTTTACGATTGGTCATTTTAAAGCTTATGATCTTGAGCACCCCTGCGAAATGTAATTAAAAAGGTTCCTTTAGAGCTACGCCGCATTATTTATTTCTAAAGTCCATTTTCAAAGAGACTGACCAACTTTCATAGCGTTTTAAACTTGAACTGTAATTTAACAGCTGCTCCTTCAGTTGAATGTTTAACCACAGTCAAATTTTAAAAAACTACTAAACAGTTTATGACAATTTAATTTAAACTGCTATTTTTACAAGTAGAACCCTGATTGATGTAGGTAAATCACTCTTTATAGTGTAAATCTAAAATCAAGAAATTTTCTATAAATTTGCAGTTCTACTCACCTAATAACTATTCTAAACAAACATTGTCTTGAAAAGGTAAATGGGTGTTGCACTGCATTTATTTGGCCTCGAAAACCAGTTTTGGACTGCGCAGTTTGCGCACGGGTCAACTCCTTGTAAAGTCTTATTTTCGAAGTAAAGATTTTGATTGCGACTATAGTATCACGTTAATTTCCTGAATGTGATTAGTAGTGTAAGTGAAGCCAGATTGCAATTCCAGCCTAATAGTAATAAACGATGATCATAATGAAGCAATAATGTACCAACACTAACAATAATTACTGGCCACCATGGAAATAATGATAACTGCCAATCACTCATACTGGTTGTATAGACTGTTAACTGAGTATTCAAAACTCACTTATAACATAAATGTAAAAAAATTATAACGCCATAGTTAACATTTTTAAATTAAACTTCCTTTTGGAAGTTGGAAAAACGTAATTTGCCACTAAATATAGTACAGAAACACTTCAGTAAATGTGTTTGTTTTTATTTTTTGCAATTTTGGGAACTATTTATTTAAATATATTAAACTATAGGCAAAATACTTTATTTTACAGAAAATTAAAAAAGAGAAAATTAAAAACCTTTTAAGATGAATGACAAAGGTGTTGTCATTTCACACAAACCAAGTACCATTGATTAATAAATACAGAAATTTATCAACAGTGAAGCCAGTACATATCAGACATTAGATCTGGGAGCTTACTCATGTGTAACGATGATAACGTACTGGATAGTAATGCGTTGCTAGGCAACAGACAACAATATGGTAACAATGTCAACCTGTTCTGGTTGTTTATTGATGTTTACATTGATTATTTGTATACAACGCTGTATAAACGGTTATACTGATACAAAATCACAATTGGTATGGGTAGCCAAAAGTCTGAACTAAACGTTAGTAAATGTTTACGTAAGTACAACTTAGAATATCCCTCGAATTGTTAACTCCTTAATTTAAAATATCTCTGCAACAAAACAATAAAAAATGTACACATGTTATTCTTATGGAGAAAAAGTAAACTGTTATAGCTTGTTTAAATAATGATATACTGCATTTAGATACGGTTTGGCGAATGTATTTATTTCGTACTATCCCATCCCTTCCCTGTAGCTGCAAACCTAAGTACTCCTTAAACGTATTTTTTGAATGGGCATAAATGAAACATTGTTAATAATGTATTTCAGTTAAAATCCATTCAGGTCATAGTTATAAAACCACTCCATTTTTAGTACTCTAAAATAAACCACCCAACTAAATTCTATTCACATGAATTACTCATTATTTTCACTTTAAGAATTTAAACAGAAATAGAATTGTTACCACACATAATTTTTTTAGGGAGACATTTTTTGCCTTTTCCTATTCTAATGTATAACATGTATGTTTTTGCATTTACAGGTTACAAATTTAGGTTCTATCATAGTTCACGCCTTTACTAAAAAAAATTTAATTTTATTCTAACACAAATTATTTTACAGCTATCTCTATTATACTGTATATTGAGTAATATATATTGTATGTGTACCATTGTAAGAGGCGTGTTAATATCTATGTTGCGTTTGCTTCATAGTGACAGTAAGCAGTAGAACCATTCGTATTTTATTCCCAATGTTGACAAATGTCTCATGTTCACTTAATGGCAATTCTGTTCATGGGTGATTGACATATTTCTTTAGAGTAATGGTTTATAATTGAACCAGCGTGTTTCTCAAAATGATATTTATTATTGTAGACTTTTTCTCTCAGTCTATTATTATTGACTTGTGTTGTGTATTTCTACAGTATATTGTTTGTCAAGGCTTTCAACAAATAAATCAGTTTTGATACTTAGTTGTAGTTTCAAAGTAGGTAATGTAGTTTAAATTTGTTTTATACTTAAATCATGTTATATTAATTAAAATGTTGGTGGAAGAGTAATTATGTATATAGGAATAAAGGTGAGTTTACAAAACTACATAATATCATCCCTACCACTGCAGCAAACCTAGACTAAGCGAATTTCTATTGCCGGGTTGGATTTGCAATAATATATTTCCTTAAAATTGTTAGATGAATTCTCCGTTTCATAACAATAGTTTTAACGAGTACACATTTTGCTACAAGCTAGGTAATAAAGTATGTGTTTTTCAATGGTAATAGTTGTATGGAGTAAAGAAATTTGTCAAATTGTATCACAATATATCCATATACAAGCGAACTGAAATTTATTAAGATTTTGAATTGTTACACGTTACAACCCATTCATCATTCAACAAAAGATTTTTGCTAAATACTGATCGAAGTACTGTATTTCCATTTTCCGGAGAGGTTTCGAAATGAAAAGAGGAATTTGAGAAACCCCGTCAAAGACAACACTGCCTAGTTGATATTAGCATTTGATCGTCTTTGCTGGGTCTATAGACCCGCACTCAATTTTGACACTGTCCACAAACTTCTTTCTTCCTCAGCTGGGAAATCTCGAGCGTTTTACACTTTTGTGAAATGATGGAAATGAATTTCAGTCGTGATGAAAAAAACTGAAACCTACATGACTGCATAGCACTTGTAGTAATTCGTAAAATGCTATAAAAGTATTCTCTTTTGATAACTTTGCATTAAACCATACTTGGTTTGTCCAATAGTCTGGTTAGTGTGTAGGGTTCCCATCATGAGGGTCTGGTTTTACTCCCACCAATTGCAATGAAATGAATAAAATTAAATGAATATGACTTCATTTTACGATTCATACGATAAAATATACAATCCATATAAATATGAAATTCGACAATGGGAGCAATATAATGTTGACCTCAACAATGGTGTTTTTTCGCTGCCAAACACAAAGCTTTGCACACAACTTCTCCCAAATATACATGTATATTACAACTGATTTTTCGGAAATTAAATAAAAAAAATACGTCTAATAACATTTTTAACATATATTTACACTCCTACAGTTGACTCATAAGACTGTAAATACATAAAGATGGTAAGTTGTGATCAATATTGATTCCGATTGAAAACTCCAAACATCATCAGTACCCGAATGACGCAATACTTAGTAAATTAAATACAGGGTGTTTTTTTAAAAACTTGCATCTTTATTTATGTAAAAACCGCAATAGATAGAAATATGCAGTTTGCGGGAATCATCTATTGACGTAGGGGGACCAATTGTTTTGAATTCAACGTTACATTCACATTCCCCCCCTTTCCCCCCCTGCCCCCAACTTAATTTTTTTAAATAGCAAGGTACCCCTTGTGACATATCAAATAAAAGAACATGAAAAAAGAAAATGTTTGATGAAAAAAAATTGAAAATCGGTTCATAAATTTGTGAGATATTCCCCCCCTCACCCCCCGGAACTTAATTTTTTTTTAATAGCAAAGTACCCCTTGTGACATATCAAATGAAAGAGCATGAAAAAAGAAAAATTTTGGTGAAATTTATTTTTCATTTGATATGTCACAAGGGCGGGTACCTTGCTATTAAAAAACAAGTTATGGGTAGGGGAAAAGGGGGGTGATTATCTCACAAATTCATGAGCCGATTTTAATTTTTTTTTCACCAAAAATTTTCTTTTTTCATGCTCTTTCATTTGATATGTCACAAGGGGTACTTTGCTATTAAAAAAAAATTAAGTTCCAGGGGGGTGAGGGGGGGGAATATCTCACAAATTTATGAACCGATTTTCAATTTTTTTTTCATCAAACATTTTATTTTTTTATGCTCTTTTATTTGATATGTCACAAGGGGTACCTTGCTATTTAAAAAAAATAAGTTGGGGGCAGGGGGGGAAAGGGGGGGAATGTGAATGTAACGTTGAATTCAAAACAATTGGCCCCCCTACGTCAATAGATGATTCCCGCAAACTGCATATTTCTATCTATTGCGGTTTTTACATAAATAAAGATGCAAGTTTTTAAAAAAACACCCTTATAACACGTACAATTACTATCGAGAAGTTATTTAAATGACTTTTTTTTTATTATGTAAACCGATGGTCCAGAAACACACACGTCAAATTATCTAAGCAAAAAAGTTGGGTCAATTTAACTAGAAAAACGTTTACTGTTTTTGGAGGTCTCCCCCAACTATGCGGCGTGTGAAAAGTTTTGCAGGTACATTCAAAATTGCTGTTTAGACTCTTAAAAACTGTTTTCCAACCTACAGCTGTATGAGTTTCTTACCTTTCCTGTGCTCCGGACCCCCTTCCACAGCGAGAAGTATACAAGTATAAATACAGCCATTACACACAGAGCTAAGGACCACTTGATAGGACCTATCCTGTTGAGACCATCCGATCTTTGTTGTTCTAGTACACTGCGTCTATGAACAAAAATAAAAACACAAATTTTAATACAAATCGTAAAACTTTAGATAAGCTATGAATAATGTAGTGAAACTAACGAGATCTAGGCAGTGGTCAGAAAGGCAATGCTCCGAAAGGCACTGGACCGAAAATCATTTTCGGACTACTGCCTTTCGGAGCAGTGCCTGGCAGTGCTATCTGATTATCATAATCTAATTATACAGGGTTGGGTAAAATTAAAAACACCCTATATTAACTTTTTAATGTGTTACACCAGTTACACCTCTATATGACATAACAGTTAATAGGGGGTGTCTAATGTCTATACCTTTGCCCAACCCTATATATAGAGGTCCTATTCAAATCATTCTTCTGCAATAATATTATTCTAAAAAACACTATGGCGTAAATTATGTAGTATGCTTAAATAATTAAATTATGGACACATTCGGCCTACCTCATTTCCTGCAAATACACTGTAAATTGACTTCACAACCTAGGAAATCTTAAGTAGTCTATTATGACCTAATTAAACAATACAGCGAACGTAACCAAAGTAAACAAAAGCTAACCTAACCTAACCTTTCACCACTCTAAAACCTAACTATAGGCCACTCTAAAAATACAATGCATGGCTATTTTAACTAATATTTGCTCAAGTTCAGCAATTTGTTTCTATATTCTATCTAAGAATTAAAGCTTTACTTAACATTTGGAAATTCAGATTACTGCTCACATTTTGTAAAAATACTTTATGATTTGATCCAACCCAATTATGTACACAGAAAATCCTGAAGTATATCAGTTATTTGCTAAAAAAAACCTAAGATGCTGGTGACAAATTAAGGTCATCTGGAAGAAAAAAAGGAACAAATTAGAGAATTTGTAAGCAGACAACAACCTGCCCTGTAGGGTGACCACAACATTCAGCACTCTTGAATATTTATATTACATCAAGGAAGCAGCCTGCAGAACAGTTATTTGCAATGGAGTTGAAAGGAAATGTCTCACATAACATTGCTAAACTGATTTTTCCAAGTCTGTTACGTTTAATTTGTGATACTTGGGAAAAACAGTAACTCGATGAAGTCCCTATAATTTTAAGGTAGAATATCACAGTTATCGATCTGTAATAAAAAAATATGTTGGTAAACACATGGTGATAGAAGAGTTCTTAAAGGGAGAAATCATAATTTCACAAAAACAACAAGCTTACGTTGTAAAACGCATTTGTACTTAACCGAGATTATTTTTCCGAGTAATCCTACAACTGTAGCTCTGGCGATATTTTACACTGGATTTGAACCATTATAAGGGTGAAAATAATTAAATCTTTTGTTCTTTTTCGTGTACGATTCGCTTGGTTAAGTATTTTTACACTTAGAATAGAAATAGGAATATATTTGTTCAAGTGATTGGTTCCATAAGTTACTTTAGCAACACATGCAATTTAACCTCAAAATATACATGCGTTCTAAAATGACATTTTAGAAGGGAAATATTTTAATAGAGCATAATTATGTGTGGAAAAATGTGTACATGGTTCCCAAAAAAATATAAATTACCACATTCTAAGAAAAATATAAAAATTGTTTTTGCACTCCTGGTCTAATAACTAGCATATGCCCTACTTAACAAGGATACTAGATTCATAAAATGGTGTTTAAGTTTATTAAACACTTATATTACTTTAAATGAAATACTTATAGAATGTGTAAACTAGAGTAGCGAACGGATGGGCATGTCCAACGACCATGTCACTTTTGTTATTTCGTAAATAATTTTAACAATGAATTGCTGATGAAATAATTTAATATCATCCCTTACCAAGCCATCCAAATTGACACTATCAATTACTTGATAGTTTTAAAGTAAATTATTTGTTCGTTCAATATTAAGGACTTACTCGAAAAACTCCTTGGCAGGACTGGTTGAGGAGGTGTCGTTTGGAGTAAGGTCAAAGACGGGGGTGCAGTTGAGAGTGTTCCAGGGATTGTCGCAGCTAGTCCAAGGTAACTCGGAACGGAAAGAGGCGAAGAGGTAGTAGACTGCCCAGCCTATGATGGTGTTGTAGTACATGCCCATGTACACGTCTAGGAGACATATGGCATACCCTACACCTGTAACAATAACAGATTGGTAGTACAAAATAGTCTTACGTACCTTTGTCAATGCCAAACGACGTAAGGTACGTAAACCTATTTATTCTATCACAGCTCAATCCTGGAGGCAATGCAGAGTAAATAAGTATAAATAGTAGAAGTATGAATAGTAGAATATATAATAGAATATACTTTTGGAAATAAAGGATATTCTATATTCTATTCTATATTCTACTATTTATTTATCTATATTTATAGGCATGCACTGTTGATGCGATACTCCCTGGTGTGGACTAACGTCCGCACTAGTGAGTACTACGTCTATCCGCAGTACTATCCTGATAATTAGACCAATTCGTATATACCAAGGCAAAAATGTGGTTCGGATTCCACTATAAACTGTAGGTCCCTTAGCTGCCATTAGCTGTTTGGACTATTAACAGCTGTGTGTAAGAAATATGTTGGCCTTAGTCACTAACAGATCGCGCCACTCATCCACTCATCCTACACTCATCTCCATTCATACTTGGCTTAAAATATCTACTTTGTATGGTCGCCATTTCAGTGAGAAGTATTAGAGTATTAAATAGGTAATCAAAACAAATATGGTTGGGAAACCAAGCAATAGGGTTGCTCTCTCATATTAAACTACGGTGTCAAAATATAGTAATTAAAAACTTGTACGCTTGAACTCAGGATTAACATTTTTGGAACTACGGAAAACCTAATTTTAAATAGGAATAACGTTTAGAAATTTGTATTCAAAATGCAAACCCCATAAATTGTGAACACAAATCAAAACCAATCACAACCAAAGCTTTGGTTCAACACCTATATATAGCGTTGGCAAACACAAGCTACAATATAGGCTAGTTTACCCAACACCTTGATGGCTTCAACTGAACTGAATTGCACCCCATGGCTCTATAGTGTTGACAGATGGATGTTGTATCCATTACACTTTGGCACCTATAAAGCTATTGGTTTCAACTGCCCGAAATGTATTCGCTATCGTTATTGATTGTTGATGATAATTCTTTATATTTTAAGATGTATAGCTATCCATTCATCAAACCAATTTTATTAGTAATGAATCATCGTTTAAAAACCCCTACTTTACTTTCTCCCCCTATATAAAACACCCTATATATGGAGAAAGTATTGTTTTCGTCAAAACTTTCGAGTTTGAGTTTTGAGTGGATATATCTGTTTTGGGTCCCCCTGAACCCAAAAAGTGGGTTTCAAAGTTATGTCTGTATGTGCAGATGTGTACAGAGCTACAGACCACACCTGTAGTCCGATCTTTGATTAAATTTGGTATGTAGGTACTAATCCATGGTATCTATCTTCAAGTGTTTTTTTCAATTTTTTTTTATTTTTGTTTTTAGTGTTGATTTTCCCATAAAAACCCATAAAATAACGGAGAAATCTGATTTTAGAATGGCCCGAACGATTTTGATAAAAAGTACAAATCCGATTTCTGTAAAAATTACGGTTCAAAAGTTACTTATGTTAGTAACTTATGTTATGTTCCCATATAAAAAATTTTAAAAAATGGGATTTTGGCCAAAAACCGGTTTTGATTAAAATTAATGTGTTATGGTCCTTATAATTCTACATAAAGTAATTCAACCCCCATTACTGTAACAATTACGTTACAAAAGTTGTTGCAACTTTAGTGATTTGTCCTACAAATTTATCATAGTTACTCTCGCCGCTTACCCATAAAGGTTGTTTATGCTTATGTTTACGAGCTTATGTGAGAAAGTATGGGAGAAAGATTGCTGATACCTTTTATTTACGTGATGGTCCCACCAGGAACTTGATTATGAAGGGCGGATGTCGTGATTAATTAATCATCCGACTTTTAACGAGTTTCGTCAGCGTCAAAAGCTACAAATCGATGTTTGAGATGATTTTATGATATTTATAATGTGTCGCCAAACATCATTGGGTACCAGAAAATTTATAACATGTAAATTTAATGAAAATTAACATTTCATTTCCTTCTTTATTTGGAACGTTTTGCCTTGTTTTTTGTTGGAAACCCAGATTGAAATATTAAACTATATAGTCATCATATACACAGTTGTTCTTAAATCCATTTCAACGTATAACGAATAAATAAGTTATTATTATATACTGCATCTAATTTGCGTATTCAATTAATTTTATTAAATTTGTTTGTTTATCATCCAATATTTTTTCATGTTTCTATGTTTACTTACATTAAAGAACATGAAACTCAAGTAATAAATTACTTGAAGCCGTTCTGCGACAGGCGGCGCTTTGAATCTTTATTCTTTTGGGATTTTCTATTGTTAGTCTAGAGTTACTGTGTTGCTCACTAAAAGCCTATGTTGTTTGTGGCAGTAATTATTTTAAAAATAAAAGTTTTAATCAGTATACGTTTTTAATTTGAGGATGCATTTTATATTTATTTTTAGATTTTTATACTTATCAATTTAAACAAATAGAAATTCGCTTAGTCGGTAGTTTTGCTGCGGCGGAGATATTTTTCCTTTGTAGCGATAAAAGATTCGAAGTGATACTTTATAATTATAATCGATTGTATAGAGATAATAAGGTAATTAAGATGCCTACCTAAGTATATCAGGGTGCCATTACCACAATCTGTAGTCAGGTTGTCTACACAATAGGACTTCATCTTCATTATATATAATGAGCCATTCGCTATACTGTTGTTTTGTGACAATATAGGAGGCAATGCTAAACATATATGTATGTTATATATTATTTAAACAATTACATGTTAGGTTTCATTGTTAATCTAAATTTTTCACTAAATAAATCGTTTTCGAAATGCTTGTAATTATTTTACAATATCTTATCATTTATTTGTCGTTAATTTGATTACTTCAAATAGATTTTCTGATAAACATATGTAGTTGAAATTGGACGTATTAAATATGAATTTAATAATGGTATTTTTTTGTGAAAATATGTATACAGAATTTATTTAAAAATGCAATTACGATTACAATTTATTTTATTATCAGTTAATTCTATTACGTATTCACGACAATTCAAAACTGTATGGACGTAAACATTTTACCTTCGGGGTTTAATTAACACAACTTACAAAATACACATAAAAGATTTTATTACATGGTGAGTTTTAAGAAGAGACTAAACTATTTAGCACATAGAAATATGTGTGGTAAAAATTATTTCACAAAAAATAAAGAAAAGAGACTAAATTATTTAGTACATAGAAATAGGTGTGGTAGAACTTATTTCACAAAATAACATGTTCTAAATAAAATATGTTACGTACAATATCATTACATATTGGGAGCAATGTGTAGTGTCTTATATTTATCTTATTGCATACTATTAAATATATATCTTGTAGTTGAGCTCAAAAACGCTATAATTTTACCTTTTAACAGTATCAACTTCAAATTTGATTTAATATTTTTGCCACGGAATAACACTGTTAACATAATAAATTATATTCCTAAATAACCAGTACCAGTACGAAAACAACAATTAACACCAAACGATTTATTTACGTAAAATATACATCTTAAAGATCAAATAAACACGCAGTAGATACGTAAACTGTTTACAAGCAAGCCGTCTCCACCTATAACCAAGTCAGCTGACAATCAGCTGATATTGTAGCGAGATATTGGGTTAAACAATCAGACAGCGGATTAGAAGCGCGAGGCGTCATTGGTCAAATCATCGCAAGACGTTCCTGACGCTCTGACGACGCTAATACAACACGAAGTGTCAAACAGTCTCGCCGACAACTTGAACAAATCGCGAGTTTTCTGTCAGCATCGTTAACGACCGAACTTCGGTCGTTTAATTTTCTATTAGGTTCTCTTTCATGAGTTTGGTAGTAAAATTGTGACCTTTAAACAGACTGATAGAAAATATTTGTTTTGGGATAAATTGTTAGTATGTGTTTGGGGTTTATCAACTCATACAGGGTGAATAAAAAGTCAAGACCCCCCCCCCTCTAATATTTTTCCAAGTAAATATACAGAGATATCCTTTTGGTGGTCGTGCAATCTTAGCAGGAAGTTTCATTTTATGATTTTGAAATATTTGAGTGTCCCCCCAAAAGGGGGGATTTGGGGGGTAACTCAAATATTTTGAATATAAACCACCTTCAAGTGACACCTCATTTTGAAGTGTTTACAAAAACTTAAAGAATGGTGAAAACTAGAGATCGCTATCTCTTCTCTATCTAAAATGGTAGCCCGTCAAATGTTGTAGAAAATCAATGGTAAAATTGGTTCGTAATGGTAATATTGGCTACCATTTTGGTTAGAGAAGAGATAGCGATCTCTAGTTTTCACCATTCTTTAAGTTTTTGTAAGCACTTCAAAATGAGGTGTCACTTGAAGGGGGTTTACATTTAAAATATTTTAGTTACCCCCCAAATCCCCCCTTTTTGGGGGACACTCAAAAAATTTCAAAATCATAAAAAAACTACCTACTAAGATTGCACTACCACCAAAAGGATATCTCTGTATATTTAATGGGAATATATTAAAGGGGGGGGATCTTGACTTTTTATTCACCCTGTATATTGTATATTAATTAAATAAACTGGAACTGTTAGTATGTGTTTTAGTTTATCATACTAATATTATAAATGTGAAAGTTTGTGTGTTTGTTTGTTTGTTTGAAGTTCAATCACGCATTAACTACTGGTCGGATTGTGTTGAAATTTGGTATGATGATAGCTCACATTCCCGATTAACATATAGACATATTCTTACCTCAAAAATCCTTTCGGGCTCCACCCCAGCGGCTCTAGAGTTTCCCATGTTAACCTTATGAGTATTCATATTTAAAAGGAATTAAATAATTTTGACAGCTGTTTCAACTACAATACACAATTTGTTTCTATGATATTCAATAGCAGTAAAAGGTTATACGGTTTACTGACAGGGTGCAGCACCATTAGTTCTTTATACATTTATGACAACTAACAGCTAATTTGAACCAAGCAGCAACAAAAACCTGAGTGTGAGAAC